TAAACGGCTCGGTGGTGGTGCCCTTTCCCCCGAAGGGGTTTCTTCTTCGTCCGAACACCTCGATTTGCCAATGCTCATCCGAATCGATAGGAATAGTGCGGCCTTGCGGCGATACTCTTTGTCGGCGAGATTTCTTTGCCCTTTTTCCTCTCTTTTTCTGTTAGGGTTAGGGTTTGATTTTCACCGAGATGAATTGGGGTTTCCTTTGATTTTGATTTGTTGTAATTTCTTTCTACCAAAAAAAACTAAGCCTAGCAGGCTCTGAAACCATTGATGGAACTTTCAGATGGGGTAGGGTAGATTAGATTGGTAGTTCTACCTTCTACTTGGCTCGATGAGCCCGATGCGTCGGACATGGTGGGCAATGGTGGTGGCGGTGCTTCCCGTCGCTGCTGCGAACCCTAGATCGGTAGGGAGTTTGGTGGGGACCTGGCAACGCGATGAACCTCATGAAGCATGACGGTGGACCCCACCCTGGTTATATAGTGCAGTGCGATACGGGCCCGTCAACCATAGGTGGCCAGGCGCCCCCGATCAGGGCGCAGATTAAAGGCCCGTCGAGTCGTTGGGCTCGATCGGGAGAAGACCAACCTAACAGATCACAAGCGGATAGTCATGTGGAAGACTTTAGCATGCTAAGAAGGTGCTCGGCAGGCATGACCCATGCTTCAAACACATTTCCCAACTTTGAAAATCATGAGATTGCGAAGGTTGGTCCCGAAGGACCCGATGGGAGGAAGCACTGCCGGACATCAATTTTGAATGGGTTGGGCCTTTTGCTAGGTTGATGAGAAGGATTGCTATTTAGATTACCGTATTGTCGTTTTATAAAATCCTCCTTTGTAGTCCAGCTTTCAATGTTAAGGTGGTCATGGCAGGATATAAGCAAATAATTTTTTGAATGGTGCAAAGGGAGCATGTCAATATCATCACAAGTTATGCAAATGCCATGAACCACAAGTTTATCATCTATTCAGCATGCACAAATGAAAATAAATTTTATGGCATAGGCATGGTGTTGTAAATATACACTAGAGGCAATAATCAAGTTTTTATTATTCCATTTTCATGTTGAGTTTTAATTCTTGTTCCTATGCTTGAATACGGTGATTCAAAGGAAAACCTAATAATTACATGTGTGGAAATATAAACACCAAACAGATCCTGAGTGAGGCCTCTGGAATAGCTCGTGTATTGTTGATAGTTCTGTTTTCCTGACCATGGGCACTTTCATTACCTCATCCTTCACCTTATTCCACTGGCCAATTAAAGCAGGAAATAATCTTCTTCTAAATGAGGAGACGTGATTAAGGGAATATGTTTATCAGGAATCCAGTCTTGATCCACACATATTTCAAATAGCATAGGACATTTATCACACAAGGGAATGTTAAAAATGATGACGTATTTCCTTAATCTAGCAACATTTCCTTTAATAATCACCGCTCATCTACCAGCCAAACATAACTCTCT